CTCGTTCACGTGGACGAAAGACGCACTCGTTATTCTTAGTTGGTAGTAGGCAGCTATCAAACAGGGAGGTACTACCGCCTGGGAAGATATTGGAAGCATAATCTGTTGTCTAGTGGTAGACCCTGCTGCCATATGGCATCACAAAAATTGTGACCAAGTCCCAGGTTGCTGATCTAATTTTCTGCCTCATTTACACACAATTGCAGGGTCTCAATTGTTTCTCTTACTATTGACAACACAACATACATATATCATTTATCACTATTGATAGTTTTATTTTTTGTTTTTGTATTTATTTATGGCTCTTTATTATTACAGGGGGTATTATTATTATTATTATTATTATTATTATTATTATTATTATTATTATTATTTTATTATTATTGATATTTATTTAATATATTTATATTAATTTTATTACTATTATTATCATCATTATTATTTTATTATATTATATTTTCGCTCCCAGGCCTTGATGTGAGTCATTAAAAATGACCTGTGCCCGGGTGGGCTAATACCCGTAAAAAATAAAAATAAAATAAAATAAAAAATCTTTGTGGTCTCCTGTCGTCCCGTCGCTGTCTATATGTATGTCTCCCCTTCCCCCACGTCATCTAGGAGGGTATCGGATGGCTCCCTCTCCAACCTTCTTCCCGTCAGAACCTCTTCCATTCAAGTGCATACAGAAAACACACTCATCTGTTTTAGAGGCATCCGTATCTCTCCTGGAAAGTTCTTGCTACACTGAGGTAAAATGACCCTCACCATGCCCATTGCTGTCATGGTTTCATGTCCTGCTTTACAGGCTGTTAGCTAATCTGCTTCGTATTTTGGAGGCATCATGTCCTCTCTATCAACTGTTGATTCGTCAAACAGGTCCCAGTCATAATTGGTAGCAACTTAACCTAACCATTGGAATTGAAGCTTAGTAATAACTGGTCCCAATCCCAGTAAGTACAAATTCTAATGGATCCCAATTGAAATGGGCTACAACCATAATGCTGAGGACCGTAATACCTTAGGGGTGATTAGGATTAAGGTCTTTTTGGGCAGTTAACCATTTGATCTTGAAGTATTAAGTGTTGGCCATGTCACAGCTCAACATCAGAGACCAATGTTTTCGGTGAGATGGGTCTCTCCTCCCGTGTTAGATGTGTGGAAGCTTCCTCACACTCATGCTTCGGGTGCATTAGACCGCCTCCTCGCGTTTCAACAACATAAAAGTATTTTTCGATGTAATTGTCAGGGATTTCACGTTTTCCTAAGCTTGGATCAAACCTCAATTTTTCTAAAGTTTTATGAAGCTAGAATGTCATTTGTTATACTGTACTGGGAGCGCTGTTCCTTGTTAGCCGGCGTTAAATTTCTTTCTCTAAGTATCCCCCCACCCCTCCCGCGACCGAAAGTTTCGGGATATACAGTATAGCAATGATGCTGCCCGTCCGTGCGTTCATCCACTTCGTAACTCGCCACAGACGTGATGGATTATTTTGATTACCGCATGAGAGCATAAATTATATCAGGGTCTTCCTGTTCAGTACTAATCAAGATTATTTATTTTGTTTGGGGGGGGGGGTTAAGAAACGACGTTTTAGGGGGCAAAATACGTAAAAGTTTCATTATTTCTATTGTAAGGTCTTAATGAATTAAAAATTAACAACATTTACGGGAACGAATGAAGCCACTTCCAGTACGCAAAAAGAATTAACTATTAAAGAGGAAAAAGTTCCAAGGTAGAAATGACAACATGAACATTTTAAACCGGTTGATATAGAACGTTATTGAGTTATATTCAGCCAGCAAGCCACTGTGGTGTGAGGTCCTATCCCGGAAGAATAAACTCCTACCCCAACACGGTTACGCCGGCGAATATGGTTGTTAAGGCAGTGTCGTAACCGTAAGGTTGGTATTGGTATGGTTTATCACCATCACACCCCATCCTTAAGGTAATATTATAGAATTGAAAAGTTTAACCTTTATCTTCTCCAATCTATTAGGGCTGTTGAGAATTTCTAATTGATTAACCCAACATCGTCATAGTTTTCGTAAATAACAGCAACATTGTGTCATTTCTCAATAGAGACACTTATATCAGGCATCCCTCACCACTCCACTAGGTGTGTTTCACCGGAACAACGGAACGCGAGCACAAGCAAGTGGTCATAACGCGATCCAATCCAATTTACCATATGTTCACATCAAAAGAACGCCTCATTAATGATCGAAACTTTGTTATAACATAAAATAACATAATTTTTAAATATTTTCATATAATGCTATTCGGTTACACTGCTTAGGTTATTTTTTCTTTTCAAAGTGATATCCCCAAGTAGAATGCGCTCACTTAAAATTATATTTGAAGTTGAAGAGTATAATTTAGATTTACACATTTTTTCCTTACGGTAACTCAACTTAACCTGTAGAAGATAACGTTTAAGTTAATTAATTGTCCGATCCCTGATACACAAATAGATTCGAACATCCACTCCAGTCCAAGGCACGTATGTATAGCTCACAAACAACTTTACTCTTAATCACACACACATAAGAACATAAGAAAATAAGGAGTCTGCAATAGGCCGGTTGGCCTGTGCATGGCAGCTCCTGTCGAGAGTTACTACCACACTCTATCATCCATGAATCTATCTAGCCTCCTTTTGAAACTTTCCAGAGTTCCCGCATTTACTACAAAGTTGCTAAGCTTGTTCTACTCGTCCACCACCCTATTTGTGAACCAGTTTCTTCCTATCTCCCTCCTAAACCTAAACTTATCCAACTTGAATCCGTTGCTCCGAGTCCTATCCTGCTCGGATATTATAAGAACTTTATTTATATCCCCTTTATTGATTCCTTTCACCCACTTAAATACTTCTATCATATCTCCACGCACTCTTCGTCTTTCTAGGGAATGCAAGTTAAGTTTCTTTAACCTATCCTGATATGGAAGGTTTCTAAGTCCCGGAATCATTTTTGTCATTCTTCGCTGCACCGACTCTAGTGAATTTATATCCATTCTATAATAGGGGCACCAGAACTGAACCGCATAATCGAGGTGCGGCCTGACTAGCGCAAGATATAGTTGCAATAAGACCTCTGCACTCTTGTTACTTACACTTCTAGATATAAAACCCCATACTCTGTTTGCCTTATTTCGAACATTAATGCACTGTTTTCTAGGCCGTAGGTCCGGG